CGCATTTTGTTTTCCGAGCTTTGCTCCATTTTGCTCCATGATCGGCGAGTTTTGCTCCATTACTTGGAATGACCTCTAGGGTCCTTATTCTTGAAACAGGGGAGCAGCGTTTCCATGAGAAAGAGTGTTCCGCCTTTGTTGAAGTCCACAGCACAGATCCTGACGGACGACCTCTGAAGGGGAAGAGGAAGCCAATGCGACAGAACTCATAGCGACAGATTTTATGAACCTAGCAAGCCTACCAAAACGATCGAGATATACTTAATAGCCTGTTGACTAGAAAAGGACAACAAATAATGCGTAGGAGTTGTGTGTGTTCGCCGTCGCACTCCTTCGGTCCTTCAATATTTTTGCGGCGGACTATACTCATAATAGTTGTATTCCTTTCAAGAGTTTGGAACACTCGAGCTACTCGCTCCGGTGTTAGTCAAAATGATTTTAAAGGGAAAGATGCGGGGTGCAACAAACACTTTTCGAAAGGAATAAGCGCGTAACGCCCCGGAGCTGTTCCGGAGCTCCTCCTAGGTGTGAAAGAAATACAACTAATGTAACATGAGCCGCTTTCCAGTATGGGAGTTTGACGCCCGGAGCTACTCGGGGCGTTGAGCCCCCGAGCTGTACGTACGCGTCAACCTGTCAGCTGTCACATCCGTGGGTGGCTATTTATTTATTTATTTCTTGTTATATCTCAAGATTGAACATTTTAAAAAATATAGTTTTGATTCTCTTTCATTTATGATACATAAAAAAACAAATTGCACAAACAAACAGATAATTATTTTTAAAATTTGACATATTTGACACTAAGACGGGCGTCTCACGTCATGATACTGGAACGGTACAAATCTAGTGCGTGGCGCCCCCGAGGTGCTCTGAAGCGCGCCAATGTGCATACTGAGCCGCTTTCCAGTATGCACATTGGCGCGCTCTAGCGCGCTCCAGAGCACCTCGGGGGCGCCACGCACTAGATTTGTACCGTTCCAGTATTATGGCGTGAGACGCCTGTCTCAGTGTCAAATATGTCAAATTTTAAAAATAATTATCTGTTTGTGCAGTTTGTTTTTTTATTTATCAAAAATGAAAGAGAATCAAAACTATATATTTTAAAATGTTCAATCTTGAGATATAACAAGAAATAAATAGATAAATAGCCACCCACAGATGTGACAGCTGATAGGTTGACGCGTACGTACAGCTCGGGGGCTCAACGCCCCGAGTAGCTCCGGGCGTTACACTCCCATACTGGAAAGCGGCTCTGGAAAGCGGCTATGGGAACGGCCGTCAGATAAACTCGTTCTGCTCCAAAGTGAACAAGGAACGGTTTGGAACAGAAAGAAAGAGCAAGAAAATTGGATAAAGGAAGGCCAACAACCCTCAACTAACAGGATGGCTTTTCCCCATAAAGCCTCACTTGCGCAAAATTCTCTCTTTTTTGACATTGCTTCGACAATTTGACGTTTGATACACGCATAAAACGTCAAATTGTCGAAACAATGTCAAAAGAAGAGCGAATTTCGCGCAAGTGAGAATGAGGCATAAGGCGTACGTTCGCTTTTCGACTAGTCGTGACGTCACTGAAGTCTTGAGGTCTACATTGACGTCAAAATGACACAAATGGTGGGGAGTTTTCGCGTGAACATGGCAGACACTTTCAGCTAGATAAGCCATTCTATTAAGATTTAGGGTTCTTGAAGGAAGGCCAAGTTTTTGAATTCACCAATTGCTTATGCGCATTTCTCTTTATGAGGAGTAACCTATCCTTGTTTTGCTGCTGTCAAATGACAAGGACAGCATTACATCGGTGAAAATGCGCATATGTCATTGTGGATTTCAAAAGCTTGCCAAGCCAGTAAATCAGTAAACTGAATTTTGATTTTGGAACGATTTGCAGCAAATACCATCGTCACCAAAAGTAACTGGGTACATTACTAACAGTTAAAAAAAGATCACCGCCATAAATAGCTATTTCGGAAAAATAAAAGGCTGTCCCTATAATTTACGACGTCTGTCAAATTTGTTCACTTGAAAATAGGCGCCATCCTTGTCTCATCGATTTGCACTGTCATGTCAATATAAAATCATTCGGAACACATTTCACTGCTCCGAACATGGGCGCTCGAGCAAACGAGCTTGATTATCGGTATTTATTTATGACATAAATAACTATTTTTGCAAGCGATTCCCATTTGTAAATTCAGTGCGTACTTAGACTATTTCTGTCTTTTTCTAGAAGCACGTGAAAAAAAAAGGATCGAAATTAGTTTTAACTAACAGGGCTTCTTGCGGGCTCTGTTTGTCTATTTGTACCAAAGTTACACCAGTCTGCACCAGGTGCACCAAAAAGTCAGTTTGTCTCTGTCAGACCCATACAAAAAAAAAATATAGGAATAAACCTTGGCTAAACAAACACGTTTGGTGTAGAAAGTGTCGGTTCGTGCCTTGTTGGTGCGAATAAACAAACAAAGCTAGTGAAACCAGGGACGACCGTTCTCTTCATAGCCATTATACTCGATGCGCTTTGCACTCAAATGCTTGAAAATCAGTTAGGTACAGGTGCATCAGGAAAAAGAGGCGAGGAAAATGAGAGCAGCTTCAGAGCACCTGATTGCTCAAAGCGTACGTGGCACCCGAAAGCAGCTCAGGCTCAGGTAATGGAGCAGAACTCGCCGATCATGGAGCAAAACGGAGCGAAACTCGGAGAACAGAATGAATATGATCAAACAAAATTTTAACTGGTGTAAGGGGGCTAGAAGAAATTCTTAGGAGCTCGTAGGTCATTCCAAGTAATGGAGCAAAACTTCCAAATTTTTACACGTGTTGCAAGGAGAGATTCCTGGGAGCTGTCTAGTTCATTCCAGAGCCGCTTTCGGGTGCAGTGTGCGAAGCACGAGCATTTCACGCTCATTATACTCAATGCGCTTTGCACTCGAACGCTTGAAAATCAGTTACAGGTGCTTCAGGGGAAACAGGCGAGGAAAGTGAAAGCAGCTTGAGAAACTATGTTCGCTCGAATGTGTAAAATTGGAGGCGGACTATTTCGGACTAACTCGAAATTTCAAGTTTCAAAATTTTCACTGGGGGGCAAGAAGAGATTCTTTGGAGCTCTCTAGGTCATTCCTGTAATGGAGCAAAACTCGCCGATAATGGAGCAAAACGGAGCAAAACTCGGAGAACAAAATGAACATGTTCAAATTAAAAAAAAATTCACCGGGGTGGGGGGGCTAGGAGAGATTTTTGGGAGCTCTGTAGGTCTCTCCTGGTAATGGAGCAAAACTCGCCGATAGTGGAGCAAAATGGAGCAAAACTCGGAGAACAAAATGAGCATGATCAAATTTCAAAATTTTCACGGGGGGGGGCTGGGAGAGATTCTTAGAAGCTCTGTAGGTCTCTCCTGGTGATGGAGCAAAACTCGCCGATAGTGGAGCAAAATGGAGCAAAACTCGGAGAACAAAATGGGCATGATCAAATTTCAAAATTTTCACCGGGGGGGGCTGGGAGAGATTCTTGGAAGCTCTGTAGGTCTCTCCTGGTAATGGAGCAAAACTCGCCGATAGTGGAGCAAAATGGAGCACAACTCGGAGAACAAAATGAGCATGATCAAATTTCAAAATTTTCACCGGGGGGGGCTGGGAGAGATTCTTGGAAGCTCTGTAGGTCTCTCCTGGTAATGGAGCAAAACTCGCCGATAGTGGAGCAAAATGGAGCAAAACTCGGAGAACAAAATGAGCATGATCAAATTTCAAAATTTTCAGCGGGGGGGCTGGGAGAGATTCTTGGAAGCTCTGTAGGTTTCTCCTGGTAATGGAGCAAAACTCGCCGATAGTGGAGCAAAATGGAGCAAAACTCGGAGAACAAAATGGGCATGATCAAATTTCAAAATTTTCACCGGGGGGGGCTGGGAGAGATTCTTGGAAGCTCTGTAGGTCTCTCCTGGTAATGGAGCAAAACTCGCCGATAGTGGAGCAAAATGGAGCAAAACTCGGAGAACAAAATGAGCATGATCAAATTTCTGAATTTTCACTGGGGGGGGGGCTAGCGTTAATTCAGCCCCCCCCACCTAATAGGCCACATAGTCTCTCCACTGTAATGGAGCAAAAATCGAAATTAGTGGAGCAAAATGGAGCAAAATGAGAGCAAAATTATGGGATAATTTTCATCCAGAATTTTTTTATGGGGGGGGGGCTAACTTAACTGACCCGGAAAAGTCGCTTCCTTCTCGATTTTTTTTTTTTTTGAGGTCTAACCAGATGAAACCTATACAGGATGATTGGTTATGCTCTTGTGCATCGAAAATGGCCAATTACGACTTTTTTCGCGGGGTCAGACATTTTTTATTCCAAAAAATGTCAACAATTTGCCGAAATGTTATTTCCGTGCTTTTTTAGACCCACCACGCGATAACTCCGAAACTAATAAACCTATCAACGTGTTTTTTTTTTTTAATCAGTAGAGGACATATAGGCGGTGATAACTGTGATAGTTTGAATCCCATAGTGAATGTACTTTTTTTTGGAAAATGGTTTGAACTTCAAATTGTACTTTAATTGCAGCATGTTTTTCGGTAAGCGAGAAACTTTTTTATTTGAACGAATTTTGTCATAGTATCTGCGTATGATATGACGAGAAAGTATCCAAAAAATTTTACAAAAAAAAACAACCATCTGTAACAAATCGTTTTCTAGTTATCCTCGATTAAAGTAATGAATATCCAGAGCGCGCGATCAAAATTTGCGCGATGTACCTACTTGACGTCGCGTCGCGACGGCACGGGCAACAAATGAGTGCGTGTAGTGGAGATGCCCTTATATTAATTGTGTTTGTTTTTGTTGTCTTTTAGCTACACACGTCGAAGCCGATTTGATAGTTTGTTGACATAATCGTTTTTCTTAATCTATGCGTTTTCCTTTGTTAAAGTTTTTTTTATGCCTGTGTGCTTTATTTAGAAGTTACCTACTTTATTCAATTAAATAACTTGTGTAAGTTAATTATTATTATTAAAAATGGAATGTTTAATTTGTCGGGAGCCTATACACGAACATGACCAAATGGTCGTCCAAAATCCTCGACAAAAAGGCCTAGAAACAATTATAAAAATCTCAGAAAAGAGACAAGATGGCTTTAGCAAGCTAATTTTATTGGAAAAAGATCACATTTTAAGTGGAAAAATTAAAGTGAAATATCACAAGGCTTGTAGACAATCTTATACGAGTGTACAAAATGTGAGGACTCAAAATATCGAGGAACAGGACGAACATTTCAAACTATCCTCTCGAAGTAGCCAGGAAGGATTTAATATACGAATTATGTGCTTGATTTGTAATAGAACAGGAAAAAAGGGAAAACAGCGTTTAACTTCCGTTCAGACAGGTAAAGCATGCAACTCATAATTATAATAATCTTTTCTTTACGTTTTGTTTAAAATAGATTGCATACCAACAGTTTAGGGTGGATTATTAAGTTTATTGATTGTTTTTCTTTGCGTACTGAGGGTACCTATGTAGTTTAGATTTCTAGATTCACTAGCCATTTTTTCCAGGAACTGGAAAAAGTACCTTTAACAAAGTAATGGAAGCTGCTAAAAAAAGGGACGATATAGATATGATTTCAAAGTTGAGTTGCTATGAAGATCTTTTCGCATATGATGCGAAATATCACAATTGCGAGTATATAGCGAGTCGCAGTATTAAAGCAACACAGAATAAAAACATTAAAAATCCGGTATCTTTAAAAAATACTTCTGTTCTGAATGAAGAAGTAGGATCGAGCAGTTCTAGCGATTCATTTGATCTATTTACAATTCCCACTGAAAGTAACAGTCATAATAATATTCTGAGGAATTCTGAGAAAACAAATGCAAAAATTTGAAAACCATAAACGTACATTTCCAACCCCCAATAATATTAATCAAGAAACCTTCGAAAAACAAGTACCAGAATATTTACTCAAATTTGTATCCTGGATAATTGATGATGCTTCATATGAAGAGGTTAACCAGAATACTTCAAAAGCAATTATCCCATGTAATATCATTATGGCACTTTCTGACAAAGAATATAAAATAAATTATTTTCAAAACAAGGAACTCCTGTTAATTCTGTTTATGTGCCTCCAGGGATCAAAATTGTTGACGATAGGAAACAAAATTATATTCACGCCAGTATAGACAATTTTGACCTGAATGAAGACACCATTGATGGGAAAAATACTACACACTGCATGGCTATGGTAGCTTTTCAAAATCATGATACAGATCAAAGTTTTGTTTACGAAAACATTCCCAGGGAAGGAGCATACTCCCTAGGCATGGAAGAACTTCAAACATTCACACAGTCCATATTAAAATATCGAAAACCAATGCAGCGTCCAGAACCTGCTCCTTTAAAAAAAATTATTTTAGACATGAAAACTGATAACATTTCGAAGAAAATCAATACTACATGGCGACTTCTCCGTAATTTCGAAGAAGATGCAAAATTTCCTAATTGGTCAGAATATAATAACATAATTTCCGAAAACAAAATACCTGTATCTGATATTTTTTATTTGCCTTTTATTAATAATCCACCAACCGAATTTGATACTATTTATACCTCAATGGTCAGATTAGTAGAACTTGCAAATGCAATAAAGCAAAACCATATTATAATTACAGCAGATTTGGCAATATATTCAAAAGCTCAAGAAATCCTATGGAATAATCCTGAACCTCAAGATAAAGTTACATTAATGCTCGGAGGAATGCACCTTAACATGGCTTTTATTGCCAGTATTGGATATATTTTCAGCGATGGAGGTCTGTGTGCAATTTTAACAGAAACGGATACATATGCTGAAAATACTTGCAAAATGATGCTGGAAGGAAAGCAATACTCCAGAGCCATTAGAGGATTAACCTTGGTTGGAGATGCACTTTCTAGACTATTTTTTCAATCGGTTCTTAATTGGTGTGAATCACAAGAAAATTTAACCTTTCTCACACCTGAGTTGAAGGCCAATCTACAAAGTTTAATTCAAGACTTCACAAACTCGAGTTTTTGTCGAAGCCGCTTTGAAGGATTTCTCAAACTCATCAGCTCTTCAGACCAAATTATATCAGACTTTGTTGTTAGTGGTTCATCAAACTCGAACACATTTAAATACTGGCATTCCCTTCTTGAAGCAATTGATCTTTTGTGGAGATTACTACGGTCGGAGAGAAATGGAGATTTTTCTTCCCATTTGTGCGCAGTAATTATTTCAGAGTGCCCTATTCCCAGGAACAAACTAAGGCCCAGTGGTACAATCGAAGCTTATAAATCGTGGCTTATTAAAGCTTAACTGTTACTTGTACTTTCCTATTTAAAATTCATTACTGTCAACGTGTTGTCAAATCTTACAGCTGTGCATTTTAAATGGGAAGGTTTCAAGTACCAGAAAGCTTAACTAAGCCATGATAGGCTTCAATTGTACAACCGGGCTTAAAGAAAAAAAATACTTATGGTAAATAATTCCAAATTAACAGTAACAAAGCTAAATAATATTTACGAATAAACGTTTTTTACTATTAATAAATGATTATTTGAATCAAATATTGTTTACTTACTGGTAATAAATATAAAGTTATGTTTAATCCAGCAAAAGAAACCAGAATTTATTATTAACAAACGTATATTTTTGAAAAATATGATCAATTTACTATTAGTAAAGACAGAAAATCCAGAAGCAAACACCAACTTCAGAGAACAAAATATTTATTTATTATTAATATGCGTTAATTAACTATTATTTGATAGAGTATATCATTAAATAAGTGCTTTATTCTCAAATTTTAAATAAATAATTTGTGTGTTGTGACCAAAGGTTTAATAAGCCATATTTCAATAAGCGATTTAGTAATAGTCACTAATTTTAGGTTATTATTACTAACTCCTTCTTTCAGTGTAATGACACTTTGCCATATCTGGCGGCTGCTGGCAGAAACCTATACTTAAAATGGGTCCCTGTTTACTTGTCAGATATGGAAAATTTGAAAACTAAAGTGCCTTATATGTTTGATTATTTAGCAGATGGTAACTGTGTAGTGAAAAAGACAAGTGATAAATTATTTAATTGTGTGGCATCCGATATGGCACTTGAGCAGTCAATAAATAAAGATTGCAAAAGTTCTGCAGGAATTATCGGATTTTCTCAAAAACCGACAGCACTTCTTCGCTGGATGACTACTCGGCATACGTTAGGAGAATACTCTAAGAAATTTATATGTATGTATGACAATAGAAAATACTCACCGAAATAATTATATAGATGTTTTTCTTTTTTTTTTTTTTCAAGGTTCCATTTCAAACTCTTACAAAACAGCCGTAAAAGAAGAAAGGGCCCTTTTGGCTAAAAACGAGCAAGACGTGTTAAAAATAATTAGATGTATTGAAACAGACTGGTGTAATCCATTTAATTTGAAATCTGTACCAAGTGAATTAATAAATATATGTACTGGTAAAATCCTAGATGGCGGAACAGAAAAAAATTTGGTAAATTTTCTCAAATCTTCACAAGAAAGTTTCAAATTTGTTAAATAACTCCACGGGTAAAAGTTTCTGGACTCCAATAAAGAGGAATAAGCTATTAACTTTTAAAGATGCCAAAGTTAAAATAAAGTCCATAGCCAAAAAAAAAATTATTGGTTCTGAGTCTATGTTTCGAAGGATAATTTGTGCAGTCCGCTTTCAAGACCTAGATCTGTCAGATATATTGACATATGAATTAACATTAGTTCCAGCATCCCTATTTTATGAGGATGGTTCGATGAGGAAAACGGCAAAATCTGATTTTGCAAAAAAAATTGAAAGTTTTGCAACAAACATGATAGAATGTCCCGCCGTAGATTCAATCATTATCGACGCAATGGTTTCAGTTCAAGAATTAGTTGCTGCTTCTTTTACCACTTTCAATGACCTTGCAGAAATATTTGTTAATAAAATTTTGAGGGAAGGGCGAAAACACAGAGCAAAACGAATAAATTTAGTATTTGATACATACATTTCAAATTCATTGAAAAATGCGGAAAGAAAAAGACGTGGAGATTTTACTGCAGATTTCAAAGTATCTGGTGCTCGAAAAGTTCCAAAACTCAAAGAATTTATTAAATCTGCTTCAAATAAAACGGCATTAGTGAATTATTTATCCAACTATTTTTTGGAAAAGGGGCCTTCTATACTTAACAATGAGGAAGAAATATTAATAGCAGGAGGATTCAAGAATGCCGAAAGTTGCTTTCTGTTGACGAAAAACGATAAACCACAAAACGTAGAAAAATTAAATAGCAACCAAGAAGAAGCTGATACGAGGATAATTCTTCACCTATTAGATGATCTTCCGACTTGCAATTCAATTCTAGTGAAGTCCGTGGATACAGATATATTAATTTTGCTAATTCATTATTTCTGTATCATTCCTGACATGACCGGACATAAAGTTTTTATGCAATTGGTCCACAGCACAAAAACGCACTATGTGTGTTTGTCCGAAATTGTAACAAATATTGGACAGAAAATTTGTAGAAAATTATTAGCTGCTCACAGTCTTACTGGTTGCGATACAACAAATGCGTTCTATAAAATAGGTAAAAAAACAGCCTTTGATGTTTTGTTCAAACATATTGACAAGTTGGAGGACCTCGAGAGGCTTCCAGAACTTTCCGAAGAAAACGCTATTGATGTAAGTCAACAATATATTCTATTATTATATAAAAACAATGATCCAGGAGTTCGCAACCTTAACGAATTACGTAATAAGTTAACACGAAATACAAATCGGCCGGCATCAGAATTACCTCCGACGGATGATGCATTCAAACAGCATCTGAAAAGGTAAATTCTCGATCTCTTCAATTATTCGTATCACACTATTTTAAAATGTTTTTTTAGATGTATATATCAGTTAAAAATATGGTACAGTAGCCACTTAAACAAAGTCATATTCGAGAATCCTAGTAACTATGGATGGACTTTTGAGAATGATGTATGGATACCAAATTTCTCATTAAAGGATCCTGTGCCAGATGTTGTGAGAAAAACTCTATCGCTATGGTGTTCTGATAAAAATTGTAATGTGTTGCTCAAGGACTTAAGTGTTGCAACGACTGTAAATATGCGTGCGATAATAAACCACTTACCACCCAAGAATGTTCGTCCGATTCAGAAGAGGAAGATTTTTAATCGAGTTTTTAATAAATTATAAAACAAAATAAAATATCGAAGATAAAGAGAATATAGGTTTCGGTTTCACATTTAAATCATTATTTTACCGCAGCCTCTCCCGCTCAATGTGTAGAGGTTCCCTTATTCAGACAGCCATGTGATAAGCCGCGCGGCGCGCGGACGGACTCTGGCCCGGAGTACTTGCAACTTTAATCAAATATCACAAATAAACAATTTGTTACAGATGGTTGATTTTTTTTTTTTAAACTTTTTTGATACTTTAGGTGGGTTCGGGATGACTGTGCTATAAACTCCAACTGCAATAAACACTCCCGATGCGTTCGGGTATTGTCATTTTGAGCTAAAAGAGTAACTCCACATGCTTTCGGGAAGGACGTGCGGGAGTCAAAAGAGCTTACTCTGAAAGCACCACCTCGTCATCAGCAAGCGCCGGAGCGGGCATGCGCATTGTGTGCGTTTTCGTGATTTTGTGTCATTTATCCTATTTTTTTGATTGCGACAATCGACTATTCGACTAATCGACAGTCAACAAATCAATATTTAATCTGTAATTACCTGGTAAATGAATGCAATGGATTTTAAACTGCGTATTTGACATGCAAGCAACGCGTAATTTCACTGAAATTTCCAATGATAATCTTGATGACTTCTAAGACAAGTCACCGAAATAAACGTCTTCAACAAAATCAAATATAGGCACCAAATACCAAAAATTCATAGAAAAGACTCGAAAAACGTTTGTTGTTTTTAAAATAATACTTGTCATTTGTGGGATAGGTTAAGTTAAGAAACTCCAAATGCACCTTGGCCGTTCGGTTTTACTAATACACTCCAAAAGCTTTTTGATCACGTGATAAAAACGCCACTCCAACTCTACTCGAGCTCCGCTTGGCCGTCCCGAACCCAGCTTTTGTCGTCATATCATACGCAGATACTATGACAAAATTCGTTCAAATAAAAAAGTTTCTCGCTTACCGAAAAACATGCTGCACTTAAAGTACGATTTGAAGTTCAATCCAGTTTCCAAAAAAAAATTGAGTCACTATGGGGTTTAAACTACCACAGTTATCACCGCTCATATGTCCTCTACCGATTAAAAAAAAAAATTATGTTGATAGGTTTATTAGTTCCGGAGTTATCGCGTGGTGAGTTTAAAAAAACACGAAAATAACATTTTGACATATTTGTCACATTTTTCGAGATAAAAAATGTCTGCCCCCGCGAAAAAAGTCGTAACTAGCCATTTTAGATGCACAAGAGCATAACCGATCATCCTATATAGGTTTCATGTGGTTAGACCTTCAAAAAAAAATTTGAAACATTTTTATATCGTTTTTACTCCACTATAAGGTTGGGTGTCCACAAAAGGACATCCAGATACTTCGCCTGCTGCATGATAATATGAATGCAACCGTCCTAAGCAACGATGGACAAGGAGAGTCTTTCCAAATAACTACGGGCATTAAGCAGGATTGTGTTATGTTTATAGGATCCATACTTTACCTTGTTGAGGGTCACTTATCATCAGGAGTGGAAATCCTGTACAGACTTGAAGGCGGCTTATTCACCCTAATACGGATGATGAAATCCTGATGACCAATACAGAGAAAGATCTTCAGGCAAATATCGATGCATTCAACCAGGCATACAGGAGAATCGGCCTAGAGGTCAACTTCAACAAGACGCAGATTCTGCACCAACCCGCACAGGGCACTAATCCCCAAGCTCCATATATAACTATAAATTATGATTCTTTGCAGAACGTAGAACACTACCCATATCTTGGGAGCCATCTATCAGTGAATGCAACCATTGACGCTGAAATCCAACATCGCTCGAAGTGTGCTAGTGCGGCGTTTGGTCGACTTCTAGTCTCCAACAATCACGACATCAGCGCTGAGACCAAACTTCGCGTCCACAATGCAGTTGTAAGACCAAGACTTACATATGGCTGCGAAACATGGATCTACAGAAGACACATAAAAAGCCTAGAAAAATACCATCAGCGCGGCCTAAGAAGAATCCTACTCCTGCCATTTAATGCAGGACCGACAAACGAACATTAGTGTTCTAGGGGAGGAAGGCCAAAATAACTAGCATAGAAGCCCTCATCATTAAACACCATCTTCGCTGGACAGATCACATCGTCTATATGCCCGAAACACGTCTTCCACGACATATTCGCTACAGTCAACTGAAAGAGGGAAAACGAAATCAAGAAGGTCGATAGATCGATCGCCTATGATCATGATGATGAATTCTGTTTGATGGGAGTATCTGAGAAGCCTCAGTCTCCCGAAATCTTTAAATGGTGTTTGATTTGGCAGCCTTACAGAAAAGCTAGGGAGCACATAAATAATTGTGCTTTTTCTTATCTAATCCTAGCGTCAAATTATTCGATTTTTGTATGTCTTCAGGCGATGTACCAAGTTATTTTCTGGGACTGTAATTATCTAGTTTGAAACTAGATTTTCTTTCTTCAAAAGGTGTGGAGTTGAGCTTTTTTTTGAAAGTTTAATGGGCCTGGTTTATGGCCAAGGAAGAAACGATCTACCCAAAATTGGAGTGTGGTAACCTGGGTAAATGTCAACCTCGCTCACTCAACCTTTCAATCAAGATTTTGAGGGGTCACAGTTAGCACCTATCTATTAAAATGCTGAACATCACACAAAAATGCGCACCTTTATAAAAAAAAAATTAAGGCATGCAAGCGATATTTGAACAACGGATAAAACCTAAGTGAGCCATACTGTATACAAATATATTTATATAGTTTTCAATTTTGATTTGATACTCATCGCTAGGTATAAAAATCGATGGTGGATGCAAAAGAATGTTCATAAAACCTTTCCAAAATTAAAACGTGAAATTTTTGCGAACTCAAATAAAAAAAAGAGAAATATGTAACGCCCTTGAAAGCGATGAAGTAAGCGAGAGTCAGTAAGTATAATTTAGTAGCCCCAAAGGGCCATACTACTCGGGGCAGGCCAGTCTTCTTATGCTCGCCATTTGAATGACTGAATGTTGGAAAATTGCACTCCGGGGGAATTATTTCATTTGATTGAAAACTCTCGCCTTAGCGGTATTTTTTAGGTCCGCTTCTCTATATAAATTCGATTATGTACCGCAGATTTTTTTGCCGAAGGCCCGGCCCTAATTTATATATCACTTTACGGGCTGAGCGAGGCGCTCGGGCCCTCGAAAATAGGAAGAAGTTTTGCGATAATTTGATAGAGATGCTTCTAAACACTTCCCCTAAGCTATAAAATTTGTTGTTCATTTAAAAAGCAGTTTCTTGGAATTTTATGATTATGTTCCGGATTTTATTCGATTAGAAAATTTGTAGCTACTGTGGACGTTTTTCATGGAGATTAATCACTATTCCTAAAAGCTGGACTTTAATTAAAAAATTTGCTTAAAAACTACGTTAAACCTTGGTACAAACCTTTTTGCATCTGATTTTCATGTTTTCTGCATTTAGCTCTCCGATTTTGAAACCAAACCTGTAAAAAAAATACATTATTTATTTATTTGAAAAAAAAAATAAAAAATCAAAACAAGTTCAGCTTTTTGCTTTCATGCACATACTGTAACGTTAAAGTCGCATGGTACTTAAGCTCAATAATGAAGTGTATTTTCCAAAAGAACTTTGCTAACATAATAATAAACATAAAAATTACTGATCATTACAAAAATTGTTCTCATTATCAGATAATAATAGGCTTAAAGGTTACTTGTAATACTATACAGACAGGACCAGGGGCCCAATTCTTGGAAAATATCGCATACGAAATTTGATATGATTTTGAAGTTCGAACGCTTCCCATTTGATTTACAGCCAAATTCGAATCAAATTTCGTATGCGATATTTTTCAAGAATTCGGCCACAGGCTACTAGACACATAGGATAAAATGGGACCAACTGACTGATACCCATGTCACTGTATGTCGAGCTGGATGTTATCAAAATTTGTGCATCTTCAGCAGCTTCGGCAGCTCGTATACTCGGCAGCACGGCCTTGATTCGCTGAGATCGGAAACAAGCTAATACGTCTTATTACTCCCTGTCTAGGAGGTTGGTCCGGTCTGTATAGTTTGATAATCATAAAATCTCCAGATCATAGTTGTTAAAATTCTAGATTAAATTGCCGAAAAAGTCAGCATAGATATTCAAAAAATTTGAAATCTATTGCCTCCGTTCCTTGGACTTGTGTCTTGTGGTGGGGAAAAAACTCATGAACATTTTTGCGAACTTTGGTACTTGAAACAAAATGAAAATATATGATATGTTTCACTATTCGCAACTCTATAATTATATTCTGCCTGATAATTTTTATTTAGAGTTTCAACAAATAGTGGGTTTTCATTCCTCCACAAGTTAAAAAGCATAAATACAATTAATCTCCAATTACTGAGATCGTATCTTCAAATGAAATCCCCTAAAATTAGTTCAAAACACTTAGTATCAATTTATTAAGTGGTCTGTAAGGGCTGTAAGTTGTATAAGTGTCCAGCGAAGCCATTTCGTTCAACCGAATGGTTTTCAATATCAATCACGTTTAATGTTCCCCTAATGCCGTTAATCTACCACCTAATCGATGCTACTTGTACCATTTCCATTCCCTTCACGTCATACGTATTCGTTACGAAATTATCAGCTAATAGACGCATTAGTCTGAGTAATAGAGCCACAATAAGAGAGCGCATTTTTTTTGAGCAGGAAATCGAACCGTTTAGCTGCTTTTTGCTTCGACGTTTCGACCTTTTATTTTCTTTTGTTGCTTTGAACTTTGTATGTCGGACTTTATTATTTTGAAGTTTTAAATGAGCTCAATTCCTTTTTCTACTATTTTCTTCACAACCTTTCTGTCTTGAAGGGTTTTTACATTATTGGTAATGATTGTTGAAGGAAGTTTTTTGAGAGTTTAAAGCCATTAAAAATGATGGTAGATCAAAAAAAGTGATTCAATTGTACCATGTCGATACTTGAAATAATAAACGCATTTCATCCATACATCAGGATCTCAGTATTTCTGGATAAAAAATTCAAGATGACTAACATGCGAGTTCTGATAAAATCGTTTTAAATCCATGTCTTATTTCCGTTTTCGTGCAGGAATAAAAATTGGCTTGAAATCAAATTGAATTCTATGTGGTACAAAATGATAGTTACGATATGCTAGCTAACACAGCTAAGATTTTTTATCTGTTTGTCTGCTATGAAGATATAAACTGTTCAAAGACCATTTTCGACTAGCATTATTTATTTGTTCATTGAAAAAAATTATATCTGCTTCACACAAAAATATTTTATCAATATTGACTTTAAAAATGTTATAAGGAGTTAACACCTTCTTACATAATATCACTCCGGAATCTACCATAAACGCTTTTACGAAAACCAAATTGTGTCTCTGTCACTGATAGATATAGATACAAATTAGAATTATATTAACAGCAGTTTGGAAATTAGACATATAGAGCGATTACACTCCTTGGCAATCGATTTTTTCGGCAAACAGGTGAACATTTTCTTGAGGGATATTCCTAGTGCAGTAAGTTATGAAACGTTCGGAGAGACATTCTCATTTCTCGGGTAGTTCCAAAGTCCGCCTGGATCCAACAAATTTCTCTCCCCATTATTTTATGGAATTAATTCCGACTTGTTTGTTTAATGGCTTAAACGTAGGTATAATACGGCGGGAGCAGTATCTACTGAGAAAAATGAACTGCTCCTGTCGGAACCATTTTATAATCTGAACCTACTTCTTTACATTTTGCTTCCTAAAATGTCTCTCTAGATTTTCGTTTGTCTGATCGCACTTTTACATAATCTTCGCTTTTCATTGAGAATAAGAATCTCCGGAGTCATCCAACTCATTCTCCGATTTCTTGAAGTGTGCAAAGATTTCTTTGCAAGTATTCACTAATTATACGATTCTTAACATGGACAATTGTTTTTAAACCTGAAACTATTAGGAAAATTCTTATGCAACTTGACACTGGGAAATCTTATGGTTTCGACGGCATTCCACCAATTGTCCTCAAAACTTGCGCACAGGAATTGGCTTCAGTTCTTTGCAAACTGTTCTCACTCTCTTACAGTGGGGGAGTTTTCCCGTCTATGTGGAAATGTGCCAGAGTGCAGCCCATCCCGAAAAAGAGTAATAAAACTCTTCCTATAGCAATTATCGTCTGATCTCACTCATATCCGTACTTTCGAAAGTAATGGAAAAGGCAGTCAACCTGAAACTGGTTAAATACCTCGAAGAAAATAACCTCATTTCTGAGAAACGGTACGGGTTTCTTTATAAAAGATCAAGTGATCTGCTGGCGTACGTCAATCATATTTGGAATTCGACTCTCCAAAAACATGGCGAATCCAGAATTGTAGTATTGGACATCTCCAAGGCTTTCGATCAGGTGTGACACAAAGTTCTCCTCAGCAAACTTCCATCGTATGATCTTCCGAACGAATGTTGTGATTGGCTGGGAAGCTTTTTGGAAGGCAGGTCACTGCATGTTGTGGTCGGTGATATATGTCTTCTGATAAACTGCCTATAACACTGTTTCTTATTTTTTTTTTTAAATGATTTGTTGAATGTGACAAGAAACCCCATATACAGCTATGCTGACGATAGAAGCTTGATGGCAGCTTTCTCTTGTGACAAACCGCTCACTGCAGCTACTTCCAACCGCCTCGCCCGAGAACAGATTCACTTCATCAACAATGATTTTGACGCACCAACTGAAGCCTTAACAATTTAACGCTTCCAAAACCTAAGCAACAGTATTCTCAAATAAGAAATCTTTCGCCGATGATAACTCAGTTTCAAGGATGTCGGGAAAAAACATTTCTATCAATCCTTCAATTTCTCTTCTCGGGGTGACCGCATCGACCAACTTGTCTTGGCATGACTGGGATCGCCAAAACCGCTTCTCAAAAGTTATGATTTTTGTTTCTTCTTTCTTCTTCTCCTTTATAAGGTTCAAATCAGACCATGTATGGAATACTGTTCCCACATCTGGAGCGAGGCTCCCAAGCATTCGCTGGCTCTATAAGATGCAGCACAAAGAATAGCAATAAAAATTATCGATAATCCCACTCTTATTGATTCATTGCAAGTGTTGTTGTTGTGACGATCTGGCCAGCCTCATTCCAGTTAGAAGTTTTTTAGGAACTACAAGAAACTTATAGGCATCCCATCCCAATGTGGTAAAGTTGGCTACCCTGAGGACGTCTAAGTACAGGGCTTCTTTCTGGTGGCGTACTTTCTACCTCTGGAACCCCTTGCTTTCTTCTTCATTTCCTGAACGATTTAATTTTAATGTGTTCAAATGGAAGGTTAGGCCTCACTTAATTTCTTCTACTCATAGTACCGCTTAGGTAGTACAGACTTTGTCTTTTGTGAGCGGACCAATATAAAAAAAAAAGATAATACTTCTTATTTTCAGTGCTAGATAGCAAAACTGCGCAGAGTAGGTGCAAACACTTTTCTCTAACAATATTCTAGAAACTACCCATTTTACAACTAGATGTTGATAATCTCATGCTAGTTAAAACAGAAGTTGATGGTTTTCCCAAAAATATTACATCTGTTTTATATAGAAAGAAATTAAATTATTTCCGAATGTACAAGAACTATGTACCTATATAGCTGAAAAACATTATTTTTGAAGAATTTCAATACTTTATTCTATATCCCCATCACAAAAACGCCTTGGAAATTCACTTCTATTTTTTTTAAATGCACTGTTCATAAAATTTAACAAAGAATTACCGCATCATATACCTACCTACTCATATATTCGAGTATAAATTGTACATTGATAAATAAAGAACTTGCTCTGCTACAACAAAAACCAAAATACCTATTAGGATAATGAATTAACCTTACTTGTACTCTTGCTTCGCTAAGTCCTAATCTTTGACTAAGTTCCTCTCTCATAAAGGCATCTGGATAATGTGTCTCGTCGAACAATCTTTCTAATTCATTGAGCTGTTCTAAGGTAAAATTGGTTCTCGATCTTCGCTGCTTTGTCGTCGATTTTGATGAATTTAATAATGGGGATGAGTGTCTTGATATTGAAGATACATCCTCCGGATTGGAATCGTCTTTGGAATCTATTATATCTGAAACAAAATTTAATGGAGAACAGCGAAACCACAGAAAATTAATGAATAGCTAAAAATAGCAATAAATATAAGATATATAATTAAAACCTGGCCAATTTTGAATTTCTATATCTATCAGGTTTTTTATCACATTATTTCCTTCCTATTACACCTTGTATTTGTAGTACTTTTAGTAATTCAGTAAATTAAGATCAACCAACCTTCTCTATAATTGGATGTATTTCTGTAGAGTAAATAAATAAATAAATAAATAAAAGAAGATGCCAATATTTAGCATAGTATCTTCTCTTCGTATTATAAAACTATCAAAACATTATTTTCCATTCCGCTATAATGAATCCCACCAACACTCGAATATCATCCAAAGGGAGAATGAATGCGGTCAGAACATTTGACAGCGATTTATAGCACGACAGTTTTCTTCACGCAAAATTGGATTAAATATGCTCTGCTTTGGCGCTATTAAACTTTAATTTATTTTGAGCCCTCCCCATGTAGGGTAACGCTGCCAACGGACGGGAAAACTATTCGCCTATGGAAATATAAATTTGGTAAGTTTTGGTTGTGCATTTTATACTGGGTGAATATACTTTGCTTATTTGAAATAGTTAATCACATTACTTTTGTAGATGTAAGTTACCTATACTTTGTAAAGGGGATTTAACGTTTTAATACTATACACTTGTATGCTGCCATATTAAGTCGATACAATAGGACAATAGTCAAAAAATTAGTAGGTATATGTTGATGGTCTATTTGACAACTAGACTTCGTCTTAGCTCTAAGTAAATTCTACTCGAGTACCAAACGTTTTGATGATACTGAATACTCGAAGTTTAAATACTCAATGCCTCACTTATAAAATTCATGACTTGTGAATGACGCCTATTTCACTTTACTTCGCAAAGTAAAAAAACTGACATGTGATATTTTCAAAACGCTCAAAAATAAAAATGGCTTCTATGCTTTCTCTACTTGCCTCTACAAATAAAGCAAATAAAATACACTTAATCCATAAACTAGAGATCGAGATTACATTGAGTACCAGTCAAAGTAAAAAAATTACAGGTATTTATAAAATTGGGTACCTCATGTGAAAGTATGTGCAAAAAGGAAAACCAAACAAGAAAATTTCTATATGTTAAGTATATTAAAGTTGCCTTCTTCAGCGGGTGTTTCCAATTCACTTTTCAAAAACTCTCAAGCTTTGTGCCATTTGATCCAAATAGGAAAATTTAAGTTCTTGTCTCAATGAAAAATTTGAAAGTCCGAATCACTTCCATTCCTGGAATTTCACAGCCACAAACTTGAACTTGACCGTGCGTCAACCTCTAGCATATGATTCTATAGCTTCAATGATTATTATAGCTCTGTTCCAGAATCAGTAATTTCCAGTTGCCCACCTATTTTTCAATAAGTTGTACGTTTATCCTAATTCACAAATGAATTGATCGACTGGAAATTACCCTTCTAAAACAGTTCTGATGTCGGTTGGAACAAAGAGCTATTATATATCCAATTTGCTTTTTCGTCCTTTGTGCGTTTTATGACAAACGCTCCGAGATAAAAAGTAGACACTTATCTGATCTACAAATTTTATGAAAAACATTTTTTTTCCTGCAGAACCTCTGAAAAGAAGAGAAGCAAAATGGTTGAGAGAAGAACTACTACATAAATCACTTACTTAAGCAAGTTACTCTTTGCAGCTTTAATTAGGCTGTTAATGTTTTTTTCATATGGACTTCTTGTTATCTTTTAGTTGTCCGTCGCACAATAGGATTTGGCCACGTGCAATAAGTTTTACCGCCTTTTTTTTAAATCGTGTTGCACGAGGTTAAACCTGGTGCAAAATTAGATACCTAGCTACTTCATTTCTATAACTTGCTATTTGCTTTTCTGACTCCAAATTTCACAGTTAATGTTTTTTATCACTAAATAGAATTGTGTAGATTTTTTTTGTATTTCTTGTTACCTATTTTCTTTGTATTGGAATATATTGTGTATATAAATAATATTCTACTAGCTGACCCGGCGAACTTCGTACCGCCTCTGAATTATTAAATATACCTATTAAATGTTGTGTTAACGTATCTATTAGCTGAATTAAATTCAGTTTTTTTCGATGGTGAATTTGGCTTTGGTTGAAGAAAATTAATGTATACTCTCTGGATCAGAAGGCACCTAAAATTAAAATTTTACATCATCCTTTTCAGGCAGCTTGTGGGAATTATTCTTGTAATGTGTACCACCAAATAAATAAACTCAGGCACAAGAATGTTCAAATAATGTAAAGAAAACAAAAAAAATCTCTAGCGCAGCCCTATTTCACTCTATCTGCACTGCACTACTCCATATGTTCTACTCTATCTGCACTACTCTATCTGACCTACTCTTTCTGCACCACTCTATCTGATCGGAATAGTGGAATAGTTCTGTGCAGCATTGTTCTATTGTATCTGCAATGCCGAGCTTCGTTCCAGGTATCAGAGATGGCGCGGTATACAAAATACAAAATAAACTTGGTATCGGTTATAAGACATGGCGCCGTATGCGGGCTTAGTAAATTTTTTTCATAAATAAATAAAATAAGTAATGAAATGACCACATTAATGACATGACAACATGCTGGTACTGTCAACGCTGAAAAAAGTTTGAATTTGACAGCAAAATGATGCTCCATTTATTGAATAATTAATTTATTACAAAAAATGTGATAAATGAAGAACCGCTCGACCGATTTTGTGCAAACTTCACATAAACCATCTAATAAATAGTCCGAACAAAGCCTAAACATTTGGTTTGGCTAGGTGAGTCCGTTCTTGAGTTATAAAATTACAACGAAAAGTGGCATTCATTTTTATATATATAGATTATTTAAATTCGATTTTTTGCTTCCGTATTGTTCAAATTCTATTAAAGCTGACTGTATTGAGTATGAGCAGCCCTCACTTGTTTTGCTTTTGTTCTAGATCTGGATGTGGTGGAGGGTGACAGGGCTCACGACACTTGGGCCTCTTGGACACCTCCCAGTTCCGATCAATCCATTCATGCCTAATTCTTTCACAAAGGCGAAGGAGGCTTCCCTCAGAAAGGATTGAGTCCCTCAGAAAGGTTCGACTCCCTTAGGTCCGAAGCAGCATCGTAGTGGCAAAGCACATGTTCCACTCTACTTCGTTCTTCTGTTGGCAACGTCTACACGGAGGTGATTCACTTAATTTCATTGAATAGAGATGCTTCGTTAGCAGGCAGTGACCTGTCAAAAAACCCAAATGATGTGACGTAGTTTTTCCTAGTCATGGCCAAGTAAGTCCTTGCTGCAACTTTGTTGTGGCCGGTGGTAGTCTCGTCACATCTTAACGTGATAACCTAATATATTAGTTTATCCGTTGACTTGTTGCATATCTGCGCATGCACCTTGACCCATCTGACAGAATCTCTGTTTTTTTGGGCGGAAACTACTAGTGAGCTGTAGTATTCAAGTACTCGCCCCGCATCATTCAAGACCGACTGGGCTTGTCTACTATTTGTATAGATTGTAGATTGTGTTTTGCTACAGACAAACTTGGAAGGTATAATATCTGCAATAGCCTGCAGTAGGCTGGGTTCCGTTTTTCTTTTTTTGGGTAAGAGTCCTCCGCCTTTCTAGGGTTGTTTTTGTTCATAGTCATAATTTGTCAATTTACTTCTACATCTGCTTTGATTATGTTAAGTTGACCGTAACGCATCTTTTTGTATGAATTTTCTTTATTTTCTGCTCCGAATGATAAATCATCTGGAAAAGCCTTTGGACAAGGTTACCTATCTTTTTTTTTTTGACTTTTTCTCAGAATCTTGCTTTTTAGAAAACACATTCTTGGTTTTCCTTTGTACTAGATATTTTCTGTTTTATCTTATAAAATACCTAACTTGATCATTGTTTTTTCCAATAATGTTCCTATTTGTAGTGTAAAAATATGATCTTTGGGTATTTTTTCGTATTCTAAAACCGCTTATGTTTCATGTGTACGTAAGCACATAAAATAGCTGCATCAGGCGTGGGAAATTTCTTGTTTTTCCTTCTGATATATTTTTTACCCCACGCCAAAAAAAAAAAAAAACAACCAAAAAAGCCAGCCCTTGATTTATTTGTATTACGAATAACAAATCGCTGGGGAGCAATTCGCAATGTCAGAACAACAAGCATTCATTGCTACACTTTTATCAGATTAGCATTGATTTCTGTCACATTGATTTGGCCGCTTCCCCGTCCCCACCCCACCTTGTCCGCGTTCCGTTGTGGAATACTGTGTAATCATGTTGCCAACGCCAACTAATTTTCAGATAACCAAAGAGTAAACTAAAATTGTATTCACAAGTCAATATTTGATTTTCAATCAAGTTTTACCTCCTGTGCTTGCAGCCGTATTCTGAAAAGCTAATTTTTTGAATGGCATCATCGACAAATCAAATTCCGAAATAACAAACGAAACAATAATTGATCAGGGAAAAAGAAACGCTAAGGACCATATCAAATTTCTCTTGAACTGGAAATGTAATTTTAGATCAGCTATACCTAAATCTTTTACTTTGCTTTGATGATATAGATAGATATGTTTATTACTTCACGATTCATTTCACTAAATGTCCATGAACATGTGTCAAAAACTCCTTTGTTGCCGATGTCTTGATGTTTTCCTTCAAACATTTTTTTTTTGAATAAATTTACCTAATCTTGTGCAATTAGAGGCCAAGGCATTTTAAATGGTAATCTTTAATTTTGTTTTCTCGTGCTTAAAAACAGAAGACTTTTGAGCATGTTCACAGAAACTTTTATTTTTATGATTTGCTCTATCATCCATTGAAGCGAGTCCCAGTCTCACATGAAATTTCCTGGAAATATCTGGGTGTTTTAAGTTAAGACTGCAGTTTTTCTTGATGACTGAAATATCTGTTATACAAATCAAAAACAAATTTGAAGCAAATTGATTAGAACATGGCTTATATGAAAATTGTTATTT